GCCTCTGTGCTGTAAGGTCTGTAGATCTTCAGCTGTAAGATTGAATTGACGTGACGGAGTGAGCGCCCGTCGCTTGTCCCAGCTCCCCCAAACCTAGCAGTTCAAAAACCCTAACCCTAACCCTATAGGGACCACCTTGGTGGGAAGGTAACAGCATTCCGTGTCTAAGTCGCACTGGCCATGTGACCACAGAAGATTGTCTTCAGGACAAATGCTGACTCTATGGCTTGGAAACGGAGATGAGCGCCACCCCCTAGAGTCGAACATGACTGGACAAAAATTGTCAAGGGAAACCTTTACCTTTACCTAAAGGCTGTGAAAAATTTGAGTGCACCTCATCCAGATTTTGGTTAAAACATCTAACAACTCTCCATCAACATACAGCAGTGCAATTTAACCACTTACTTTAAAATTCTACAACTGAAGACTGGATGATAACAGGCCACACGTCTGATAATAAAAGATCATCAAAAGGACAATGAACCCAGTAAGTATCGACCAATAACATGCCTTCCAACAATGTTCAAGCTCCTTACAGGAGTACTTGCAAGATCAATATATACTGTAATTACTTAACTGAAAACTCCCTGTACCCAAATGAACAGAAAGGGAACTTTAAAAAGAGGCACAAAATATCAGCTGCTTATCGATAAATAGATACAGAACAATGCAAAAAGACAAGAAACAAACCTAAACATGGCATGAATAGACTATAAAAAGGCATTTGATTCATTGCCACACAGCTGGATTAACACCTGCCTAAAAATGTTTGGGAATAATTTTAAATAAAACTGGATTGGGCTACCATATTTCAGAACAAGCAAGAAAAATCAATCATCTGTTATACATGGATTACCTAAATCTATATGCAAAAAGTTCCACGAAGATAGAATCACTGTTAAACACAGTGCAAATATTTAGTGAAGATATCCAAATGAAATTTGAAATTGACAAATGTGCAGCTCTGTCTATACACCGTGGCAAGATCCAAAAACTAAATGGAGGAGAGTTTAAAAATGGCAATATTATAAAATCACTATCAAGTGATGAAAATTATAAATACCTTGGAATGACGGCATATCCCAAGATCAAGATCCAGATCTATAGAGCCTGTGTCCTGAGCACACTCCTATATTGCAGTGAGTCCTGGACCCTTCTGGCATGGCAGGAGAAGAAGCTGAACATGTTCCATATGTGCTGTCTCTGATACATTTTTGGTTCCACCTGAAAGGACAAAGTTCCAAACAGAGTAGTCCTAGAACAAGCTGGAATTTTTAGCATGTATACATTACTGAAACAGCGACGTCTACGTTGGCTTGGCCATGTTGTGAGAATGGCTGATGGTCAGATTCCAAAAGATCTCCTGTATGGAGAATTAGTGCACGGAAATCACCCCAGAGGGAGACCACAGCTGTGATACAAGGATATTTGCAAGTGGGATCTGAAGATCTCAGGAATGGACCTCAACATATGGGAAACCTTGACATCTGAGTGTTCAGCCTGGAGGCAGACGGTGCATTATGGACTCTCCCATTTTGGAGAGACACTTGTTCAGCAGGCCGAGGCCAAGAGGCAGTCCTGAAACCAGTAAAATCATGGAGCAGGACAGGGGACAGATTGTATTTGTCTTCAGTGTGGAAGGGATTGTCACTCTTGAATCAGCCTTCTCAGGCACACTCAACGCTGTTCCAAGACCTCTATTCAGAGCATGTTACCATAGTCTCTCAAGATTGAAGGATGCCTAATCTCTTGGAATACTAGAAGCAGAAAACATCATACACACAAAAGTTAAAGAACTGACCGAAAAGGAATATATCAAAAGACTGCGGAAAATCTTAGAATCAGCATTAAATGGGGGAAATACAACCAAAGCCATAAACACACAGGCCGTTCCAGTAATTAGATACCCAGCTGGAATAATAGACTGGACTCAAAATAAATTAGAAGAATTTGACAAAAAAAAAGGAAACTAATGAACATGCATACTGTTACATACAGCACTGATGTTACCTGTCTGTCATGGGTTTGGAGGGAAAGTTCCATCCTATGGGGAGTGGAAGACGGGACATCAGGAGGGAAAAATGAAGCCTAAATGATTATATCAGTTCAAGCAGAGAAAAATTAAGGAAGTGAAAATGGAGAATATTTTGAAATAAAAGCTCAATATAAGAAACAACAATTTGAAAATAAATTAAGCATCTGGAAAAACAAATCACTACATGGACAACACGAGAAATATTGATGGAAAGCATGATTATAATTTAGCATCGACATGGCTAAAACTGGGAACCTTTAAGAAACCAAAGGCTTGGTCTTTGCTGCACAAGAACAAGCATTCCAAAACAACGTGATGAAAGCTAAGATCCAAGGAATTAGTGCTACCAGCAAATGTCAACTCTGCCAAAAAGATGAACCTGTGTCACACTTCATCTGTGAATGTCCGAAGATTGCACAAACAGATTACAAAATCAGACATGATAGAGTGGCAAAGTTAGTGCACTGGTCATTATGCAAAAAATATGGTATATCTTTCCAACCTCCAAAAACCTGTGGGAATATCAGGTAGAGAAGGTGTCAGACAATGCGGAAGTCAAGATCTTGTGGGATTCTCCAATCCAAACGGATAGACACCTTGAACATAACACACCAGACATAGTAGTAATAGAATGAAGAAATGTCTGGATCATGCCAGACATGAAAATAAAGAATTGGAAAAACTCGCCTCTGGAAGAAACACACTTCAGTGGACTCCATAGTCATTGGGGCTTTGGGAACAATATCAATAAATTTCATACCGTACTATAAGCAGTTGCAGATCTCAGAAATCACACCATCAGAGCTACAAAAAATGGCAATATTAGGAACAGCATACATACTGCGCCAATATTTAACAAATGCTTAGGTTTTGAGTTAAAACTTTGTATCTGTTATATAATACCAGTCAATGTTTTTTTACAATTTTGACTGTGCCTGGTGTTTTTGAATAATAATACTGTAATAATAAATGGAAGGTAAAGGTAAAGGTTCTCCTTGACAATTATTGTCCAGTCGTGTTCGACTCTAGGGGCCGGTGCTCATCCCCATTTCCAAGCCATAGAGCCAGCGTTTTGTCCGAAGACAATCTTCCGTGGTCACATGGCCAGGGCGACTTAGACACAGAACACTGTTACCTTCCCACTGAGGTGGTCCCTATTTATCTTCTTGCATTTGCATGCTTTCGAACCGCTAGGTTGGCGGGAGCTGGGACAAGTGACGGGAGCTCACCCCGTCGCGTGGATTCGATCTTATGACTGCTAGTCTTCTGACCCTGCAGCACAGGCTTCTGCGGTTTAGCCCGCAGCGCCACCACGTCCCTTAAATAAATGGGAGAGAAACCAGAATATATGCATTATCTCACAGACTATGGGGCAGATTATGAAAAATCAGTGCATGGAGTAGTGAGTATGGCAGGGTCACAATGAGAACACTGTTATCTCCTCCATCATCCCAAAAATGATTCCTCCAGCGTGGCCCATCATTGAGGGATAGTTGCAGACACAGCGTTCTTAGAAAAGCCGTGTGTGACTAATCTTTCATAGCTTGTTCAGCAGATGTACCCACCAGTATACCAGCCCTTGGACTAATGCTGGGCTTCCCAGGGAGATGTGTGCCAGATCTGGCATATCTTTCTACTCAAAGTACCACCTGAGCTGGAGTAAGTAAGTTGGCAATAGCCCAAGCATTAGTCAGACAGCACCCACCACCACCTTTTATTCATTTCAGGATAATTTTTCTCTCATTTAAGGCATTTTGCACATCTCCATTCAGGTGCATATTATATCTGGGAGGATTATTCCAGGCCCGGGCAGTTCACACACTTGTTTTTAAAAACTGTTGGAGTTCCATCAAAGAAAGCACCCATTTCTTTTACGCTGTTACACCCTCTTTAAATTGTGGATGTGTGCTTCCTATTTTGTTTCCAAGGAGGAGAATGACAGTGAGCAAGACATGGAAAAGTATTGACTTCTCATGGGGGAGAAAAGGGACTACATACCCTTATAATGGAGTTTTACACATCCTTTTTAGAGTAGAGACTTTTGCACCCCCTGCCTGGCACCACCCTATGTAGAAACGGAACACTTTTTATGTAGCAACAGATTGTGGACTGTAAGAGAAATAAAGCAGTCTCCAGAAGACCTTTTACAGAAGCCAACCTAAGACGGTTGGTTCTTGTTCCCACAGATGCAACTAAATCTGGATCCAATGGCAGTGCGCTTTAATAGCCTATATAACGAGTCAGCAGGATCATTCATCAAGGGTCCATGAAATCAGCATGAATGTGTGATTTGACTTTGGTTGTTGTATCACTAAGAGGGGGAAGTACCGAACATGTCTTTTAAAATCTTCAGAGATTGATGGCCATGCCTTATTGAAGTTATGAGGCAGTGCATTATACCAACCTGCACCAAGCCTGGGGATAAGATACAGTACATTGCTACTCAATGCTGTGCTGTAGTGTACGGTTTCCCACCCGCTTCTTCTCGGGGTGCCCTGGGACTGTGCAGGTTGCCATGTCTTCACAGGCTAGCTCTTCTTCCAGGAGGATGCAGCGGGGACTTGAATTCCAAGCCTCTGGCTCTGCAATCAGATACCTAAACCACTGGGCCATCCAACCAGCTATAAGATACATTAATGGAGGATAAATCTACTAGTGGCCTTGATGCTAATATTTCCAGCTACCAGGTGGAGGCATGATGTTCTCAACTACCATGTGCTATGGAAAAGCAGTTTTAAAAGGTTCCTCCGCATTCCTATCTTGTTTGTTGCTAGAGGCATTAGATTTGCCGCAGTAGAAAGGGGAATACAGGACTGGGTGCCCCTTCGCTTCGATCCAGGTGGATTCTTTCATTATGTGAGATGCTAAGGATTAATCATGAGACATCCTGTTCACCCAAGGATAACTGTTAGTGATCAGGTCATGTAAGCTTTTGACAAAAAAAGACAGATGCTTGTTTCACTGTTAAGCAAGTATTTATTTTATTTATCTTTTAATGTATTTATTGCACTTCAATATTAGACCAAAAAATAAACTCTCTTTCTCTCTGTCTCTTCCTTGTCAACATCTTTTGCGAGTCTTCAGGACTCCCAGCAGCAACAGCAAAACAGCAGCAAGTAAAATCCTCTCCATTTTTCCCTTTGCAGCAAATATACTCCAGTTCATGGAGGGAATTTCTTTGTAATAAACATACATATTTTTCTTCTTCCTCTAGATTTCTAAGAAAAGTGCAATGCTTGGTTTTTTTTTTTAATTTAAAAGCAGTGTTGAACAGCAGCAGCAACAGTAGCAAGAGTGTCCCTCCCACCTTGCAAAGAACACTAACAATATCCCCCACATCATGCACACAGGAGAGTGATCGAAACGTGCTATGAGAGCTCCTGTTAATGGGATGGAAAAACCTGATATGTACCAATGCAGAGAACAGGGCAGGGCTGACCACAGCCAAGTGGGAACACTGGGGAATCCTACTGGGGAGAAGAGGGAGCCCAGCACCCCCTCCTTTTTGGGTGCATCTCTTCCAGGCTCTCCTTCCCTAAGGCTTGGCTCCTTCTTTTCAATCTCTATAGAGTCTGATACAGGAAGCTTGAAAAACCAGTTCCTGGGATCTCTGGATCGAGAGAGCCAAAGCCACACACAATCCTATGCTTCAACAAAAGCGTTTGGGATCAGATACACAATTCAGCAACCTGCAACTCCCAGCTTTTAATTTGTTCTGACTCTTTTTTTAAAAAAAAAAGAATGGAAAAGAAGGTGTCTAGCCTTTTCGGGCAGGGAGAAAAATCTTGAAAATGTTGGGCTTTGCCTAGTGAAACTGGAGGCCCAAACTTAACAGGAAAGTGGCAGAGCTTTGTCCACTTCTTCAGTGTTGTGCCACTACCTAAGTATAACGGGAAGGGCCACTGAAACAGGACATCCTAAGAGAAAAATTAACTACTGCTCTTCCTCTACAGCATGTTATCTTCCCCTCCATAGCTCTTTCCCTCCAGGCACTGTTTTCTCAGCCGGTAACAGAAGGAATTGTTAGAGGACGGGGTGGGTTGGGTTGTGGTGTGGGTGGAAAAGAAAGGTGGGGGTAAGAGTAGAAAATGGGGGAGGGGTCAGCTGTTCCCCCACCCTAGCATACAGACCCATGTGCTTCTAAACTACACATGTAAACTTTACACAGGGGGTCTGCCACCATCGAGTGGCGACTCGTTGTCAGAAACCCAGGAACTGGCTAGGCAGAAGTTCCAAAGATCTGCAGGTGCAAGTTTCCTTGTCCCTGCATAGCTTTCTTGTGCCTCTCTAACCCCCCGCCCCCGCCCCAACCAGGACTACCAGAAACAGAATAAATTGTGCAGAAGGAACAAACACAACATTTGTTTCAATTCTGCAGAATCTACCCAGGTCACAGACTTAGGCATTTCATGGCACAAAAATCTGGTTGCTTTCTAAAAAATATTATTCTTATTAAAATTATTACTTAAAGTGCACAGAACACACAGCTGCAAGCAGAGCGAGTGGGGAAAGAGTTTGGCAGCACCCCTCCCCACGTTGCTTTCTGCCACCTGAGGAAGGCAGCCGTCTACTATTTATGGGGAAGCAGCAGTGAGCCCAAAGTCTAGCCTTACATTGGGGAATGTGGAATAGAGGTGGGGTTAAATATAACAAAGGCAGCTTGGAGACTGCCAGGACTCAGGGGGTTGATGCCCTGCCCTGGAAGGGGAGTGATAGCTAGAGTCCGGAAGGCTGGGTGTCAGAACTGGAGGACAGCATAATCACAGCTTCATCCTTCAGAAAGAAAAAAAAAGCACCACTGCCCAGTAAGGAACCAGTAAGATCAAGCAGAACCTGTATTAGGAGTGTTTGCTTTGCCTAGCCCTTTCTTCTCAATGGCTAATCCAAACTTTGCTTGTTTCTCTAAACCTTACTCGGCATAGAAGGGCACTGGATAATTCAAGGTGACGTGGACGCCCCCCCCCTCCAACTCTTGAAATGTCCAAATGAATTCCTGCTCTTTCCATTTGCTCCTTCTAATAAATTCCCTCCCCCCCTCGCCCTGTCCGCCTAGGATCACCACAGTTTTCCTTTGCTCACGGCCTCCCTTGTACGCCTTGGTCCCTCCTGGAAGAGCTGAGTTGCAACTCTACCTACCAACTGGTGGAAGCCCCTTGGAGTGTTTGCTTATTTGAAACATATACAAAATATACATCTAGCTAGCCAGCTATACTATATAGATACAGACACACCCACAGCAGACAAGACGAAAGAGCATAGTGGCCCCACTTGCTCGGTTGCAGGGGTGAAGTGGCAAACTGGCCCGACTTGGGCAGTTCTACCGTATGCAGAAAGGTAACAGCTAACCTGCAACATCTGTAGTCTATAGCAAACATCTTAAGATAGCATAGCACCTAAGCCCCATGTGCTCTGTCAGGAGACAGCAGCAAAGGAACGGAGGCTTAAAAAAAACAAAAGAAAAGTCAAAGACGTAGTGCTAACGGTAGCATGCAAGTTAAGGAAGGAAGCTAAGGTTGCAATAACAGCTTGGATTTTCCTGTCCTTAAGAGCTACCAATCATTATTATTGTTATTATTATTATGTACAATGTGCCCACTGTCTTTATATATTGAACAAGACAACATCATTAAGGACAGAAAGATACACACATACGCGCACACATGCACACACACACCCAGGCACACACCCACACATGTGTATGTATATATATATATACTGGAGAGATATATATACATATATCTATGTGCATGTAGAAACAACACAGTACAATGTTGTGTCCAATTCATTTGCTTGATCTCATCTAGCAAATAAATGATCTTCAATCCGCACAGCGCAGCGGAGAGTGCTGTCTGGGAAACACAAATCCTCCCTTCTGTATCTAATCTCCTCCTTGCTAGGAAGGGATCTGCTCTAGCAGATCCCAGCTGCGATGGGCTACGGGCTCCCCGCCTTGCCGGATCCCTTCTGCTCTTCTTCTTTCATCATCGCTGGCTTCCTGTTCCTCTTTTTCTTCTTCTTCTTCCAAGAGCAAAATTTAGTCCCAATGCCTTAAATTTGCTGGATGATTGATTCTCATTTCTTTTCCCCATGAAACACTCATGGTTTTAGAAGTTGGTCCAGGAGGAACTAAGGGTTGATCCGGAAGGCAAGGAGTTTCTCTGAATGTTGGTTGTTGAGGGTTCTCAGGTCTGGGAGACGGAGGAGGAGCTTGGGGAAAAGAGTGGAGTCGTCCGGGTGCTTCTTAGTTACTAGAGTTCTCAGGGCCCGGATTAAAGTCTCCTGGAGAAGTTCAACAGCATCCACATCAGAGATGCCAGAGCGATCTGAAAACCCAAGCAAACATGTTAAAATTGAGAAGAACCAGAGGAAAAAAAAAGGACTTTGCTCATGGGGGTTATTCCACAGAAAAAAGGAATTTGGACACGTGGGGAATTAAAGAAGAGCAAAGCTTACACTACTGCAAGAATCAAACATTATTGTGCAGATACAAAAGACAATTAAATACATTTTTTTTAAAAGTTCATTCTCAAGGTAACTGAAATTTTATATCAAGAAAAGCTGGGCTGTACAGCCTGTCTATATGATACTGTACAAAGTTAAGGAAATCTTTATGATTTAATTGTGGGTGCTTTCTTCTATGGTTTTTACTATTCTGCAAACCATTTATTCAGCTTCTTCTAGGTGTAAGAAGGGAAAGAGTAGAGAACTCTCAGTAACCCACAGATATTAAGCAAACCTTCTGAATATCTGAAATTTGATATTTTCCCACAGTATCAAATTCACTCTCATATGGACTTAAAATTTGTTGTTTTCTAAAAATGGGATTCTGAGCAAAGGGAATGTTGTGTCCTGTATCACAATAACAGCATGAACACATTCCTACTGAATGGTTAATTTGTAAATGGAGAGGCCATTAAAAGCACAATCTGGCTGGGGGGGGGAGGGGTTCTGCTTCCTGATGCTTGGTGAAGTTTGGCTGTGGTAGCTCAATCCTGAAGGGAATGCTCTCTGTATAAATTCAGAGGCAATGAATGAGTTATAAATTAAAAACATATATATTCCTCCTTCTCTAAATAAAAACAACGAAAAAAGTCCATGAACACAAGCAGAACTATTGAGATAAAAATAAAACTAAAAAGAAGAAAAATAAAGATAAGGTAAATAGTGACTGCTGGAAATATGGGCACCCTTCAATCAGACCCCTTCTAATTCTTCCAGATGTTCCCAATCTGAGCCATGGCTTAATCTGAGATTTCTCTTGCCAGTGAGTGCTCCAAGAATTCTACGTTAAACATAACTCTTCAGGCAGGCTTCTAAGCAGTAAGTTATCTCAGAAATGCTAGTTTTTAGCTTACAGATTATTATTATTTTTTTAAAAAATGTTTTTGAAATGTTTTTAAACTTGATTTTTAATATTAATAATGCTAAATTGTTTTTTTAAAAAATATATTTGTGTGGTGTATTTGAATGTGTTGTTTTATCTGTTGTGAGCTGGCTTGGGCTCCCCTATGGGGAGAAAGGCAGCATATAAATAATGTAAATAAGTAAACAAACAAACAAACAGGGCTGGCTCTGGTGCTCTGAGGCACCAGCCAATTCCCCACATTTTCCCTCATTCCCAAAACTGCAGGGACAGGGAAAACTTTTAAAAAGAAAGGGCATAGAAGCTCCTACCCGGTATAGGATATATTTTACTCTCACCTCCCCATAATCCTTGTTTGCCCAGTTATACCAGCAGGATAAAGCCCACACTGACCTGCCGAGACAAGGACGACAGCCATGAAGAGGGCCATTTCCTGTGCATCTAAAGCCAGGGAGCTGAGTTTCTCGCTGAATTCAAACATGGCATCCAGCAGGGAGCCCATGCCCATGGTTCGCAGGCTGCAGAGGGAGTACGTTTCCCCACTCAGGAAGGTCACCACTTTCTCTTTGGGGCTGAACAGGGAGGAGAAGCGCACCATCAACACCTGAGGAGGAGGAGGAGGAAAAGAAGAAGAGGAAAAGGGATGAAGCATGACTAGTTTAAGCCAAAGCAGCACCACTGTGACCAAAGATCCAGCCAACGAAGAAAAGAGGAGGCAAGCTCCATACATGCCAAGCCAAGACTAAGCTAGCACAGAGTTCTCTCTCTCTCTCTCTCCCAAGTCAGGAGTGGGGAAGCTCCAGAAGATTTCAAGGGCAGCTCCTATAATGCTTTACCACTGGCAACACTGGTTGGGGTGGAAGTCCAAAATATCTGAAGGGCCAAAGACAAGCGTTCTCCTGGTTGCCTGTTGTGAGTCTCCCCACTGAGACTCTGCCAACATGGCTGGACCTCCTCCCATCGTGGTGCACATTTTGATTTTAAGGGGGGGGAATAAAGAGTCTTATTCTTGTGGAAGAAATGCAACCCCCCCATTACACACACACACACACGCACGGACGCACGCACGCACGCACGCACGCAGGCGCGCGCGCACTCACGCACACACACGCACACACACACACACACACAGTCTCTGTCCTCACCAATTGCCAGCCACTTCCCCCCAAATACTATTAACCTCTGGATGAATGCAACCTTGATCTGCAATCCAGTGCCATGAAAAACAGGGGTGCAGATTAGCTTGACCTGCACAAGCTGTTCCTTGCAGAGGAGCTGGGTTGCCAAACCAAATGCATGCCCAGCCCTACCTGGGCGGAACATGCAGCGAGAGGAACTGACCTGGAAAGTGCCCGCTTTGAGAAGCATCACTTGGTCCTGCTGGCAGAGCGACTGGAAGCCTGGGATGCTCTTGGCAAACTCCACCACCTCCTTGACGGCTGGAGTGAAGCACTGTGAAAACTCTTCCCACACCTGCTGGCTGGTCTTGCCGTTGCTACAGTAGGGGGTGGCATTCAGAGGACAGGCCTGTGTGGAAGAATTAGAGAAGAGCAAGGGCAGGTGAGCTTGGTCGAATCATAGCCTAACTTAGAAGACCTGGTTTGAAAGATTATTCATCCTCCTGGTGGTCTATTCATTTACAGAACATCCCATTCCCCACCTCTCTGCAGAAAGAGTGACTTGCAAAACACACACAATGTGTGTAGATGTAAGGGGGAGGATCTGCGCAGTCTTTCATTTGCTGTTCTCACGCACATAGAACTGTTATTTCTTCCTGACCCTGCCCCATTCTACTGAGGGTTACATCTGGTCAAAACATTCCACTTTTAATTTTTAAAAACTGTTTTAGCTAGTGGAAGTGTGTGTAAAGGAGGGTGGTGGTGGTGTTTCCTGGTCAGCCCTCTCCTCCCTCTTTCTTCACTCCAAATCCCTGTCTGGCCACGTTGTACGGCTTGGAAACAGCCTTCATTATGTGCAAGGACCTGCTCCCAGGACACCTGCTTTTTACGCATGTGTTTGGAAAGTTGCCATAGAAAGTTTTAAAACAAGGCAAAAATCCCAAAGCACAGTTTAAAACTATTTAGAAAAACCATCTATTTCTAAACAATGTGTGTGGGGGGGGAACAAAACACACCCCAAACTGTTTGGGAACAAAACAGTTGCTCATTTTGGGGAAAAGCAATGTTCCTTGTGAGTGTGAGTTTGGACTTCCCACTTTACTAGGACCCATACTGCTTGTACTGAGCCAGCTGGAGCGACGTTGTTCTAGGGGTAGCAGCTCCTGTTGACCCTCTATAAGCACACAGTGGACCTAAGCTGCACAGCTTCCTTAAAGCAAGCTGGCCAGCTATTGGGAAGTCCTGCCCTGTGACAGGAAGCAGGAATCGGTCATGCAAACAGCAGCAGAGTTAAAAGGGAGTGGAGGGAGCACTGGGCCAATGATGAGTGGGTAAAAATCTTGTTTGCACAGGCATAATGTAAAGTTACACCCAGGTAAAGGTGCCTGATGTTATACCCACATAGTCAATTGTGTGATCCTCACAACCATTGTTGCACAATGCACTGGTGGAAATGTTTTGTGGATAGCACTTCCACCTGGTACTTCTACAGTGACTGCAGGTGTAACATGGAGTTGCACCCACATACTTAAGTGACAGTGTTTTGCCTGCTGAGATTAACTTCAGAAATGCTTAGGAAGTACCGTATTTTTTTCCATGTACAGTAAAAGACGACTCAATGTATAAGACAACCCCCCACTTTTCTAAACTTTTCAAATTAGAAAATTTGACCACTGCTTTCCCCCTCCACTTCCTAAGCCCCACGAAAGCAGGATCAAAGGGCTGCGGAAGTGGAAAGCACAGATCTTAGGAATTGGAGGGGGAAAGCAGTGATCAAAGGGCTGCAGGATCTCAGCCCTTTGAACATGCAGCCCTTTCATGGCTGCTTTCCCCACTGCTTCATAAGCCACGGGGCTTATGAAATGGTAGGGAAAGCGGCCATGAAAGGGCTGCAGGATGAAAGAACTGTGATCCTGCACCCCTTTCATCGCTGGTTTCCCCTTCCACTTCCTAAGCACTATGGGGCTTAGGAAGTGGAGGGGGAAACCAGCGATCCAAGGGTTGCAGGATAAAAGGGCTGCGATCCTGCAGCCCTTCCATCCCTTCCCCCTTACTTCCGTGTATAAGACGACCCTCAATTTTATTCTAAAGATTTTAGATAAAAGTATTGTCTTATACACGGAAAAATACGGTATGTCTGAATCTTATCTTGGCAGCAGGATTATGTGGCAATAAGATGACTGTATTGTAAGAGAGGAAAGAGGATTGCATTACTTCAGACTGCAGTGACCAAACACATTTTTCACTGCATAAGAGAACAAAATCTCCCTGTAGGTATAGAAAACTAGTATAGCAGGAAAGGGACAGTTGGACTAGAATCTTTTGCCTGGATTAAAAAAAAAAGATAAGAAAGCCAGTAAAATGTTTCTTCCTCCATCTGCAATATTGCATGAAACATTTTAGTTACTGTCATCAGAGCTGGATAATTTTATTTTGTTTTATTCAAAGATCCAGCCAGAGGGTTTTTTTGGATGAGGAAGTGATAATCACACAGAGGGTACAGGATAACATTTGGATATCAAGGCAAGGACAGTGAAATATCAGAGACATGCAAAATAAAGTGTAGTGTGTATAAATGTCTCAGAATGATGTTGCCCTGACTCAAAATCAGGGAGTGGGGTTTAATATCTAAAAAGAAAGTTGCTATAACTTGGTTACCTGCAAGCCCTTGTTCATGCCTGTTTATGTATTAAATTTACCAGGAGCTGTGTGGACTTTTGACATGCTCACCAACATAACAGCTCAATGTTTAGGTCCCTGACTGTGCAGCCAGATGTTGGGAGTTCCGTTTTCCCACTGTGCCCCCTTGATAGGGGCTGGACTCGATAATCCATAGGATACCTTCCAGCTCTGCAGTTCTAAGATGATGATGATGATTAAATTCAGTGCTAGCCAAATGTTACTTACTATCACTGCAGTGAACACCATTTTACAGCAGAGGGAGTTGAAGTGAACAAGATTGCTGTGCTTGATTTTTGTGATCTGCAGGCCTTCTCCAGCTGCAGTTCAATCAGCCCTTAGTTTCTAATGCAAGATGTGCTGGGCTTCAAGCGAACCCGGAATACAGGCAGCCACCGCCTTTCCCTGCACCAGACCAGTGCTCCATATACTATCAGCCAATGTTAGTCATGACCACTGCAGAACCATCATTTTATAGCAGAAGAAACACCGTGGTTTGGAAACCAGCGTTTCTCCCTTGAGTCCCTGCAGCAAAGTGAGCCGGACAGTTGTACCGCTACACGCTGCCTGTCAGTGTTGATGATATTGGGCTAAACAGATTAATGGTCTGATTCCAGTTTAAGGCAGCTTCCTATGCTTCCACAGAAGCCACATCATGTCCCTCTGAGCTTCCTATCCATAAGTGGACCACCAACTATCATGTCTCAAGATTAACTGACACCCACTCCCTCGAAGGGGTTGAGGAGCAGGGCTGCCTATGGGGGAAGGATACTGCTTCTGAACCCAGAGATCATCCCATTCTTAGAAATTACAGTTCACGGCCCCTTGATCACCCACCTTCATGAATACATCTGATCCCTTTTTATAAATGGCCTGCAAGTTAGCAGCTAGAGTAACATCCCACAGCAAGGAATACTCCATAAAATGACTAGGTACTTACAATGCCTCTGCTGGTTGTCCCCCGCCAGGGGCAGCCCCTCTGGGGATTTGCCTCAGGGTAGCCATATTCAAAGGCCGGGTAACGTCCAGCATTTTGCAGGTAGCTGGCCTGCTGGGCCTGGAAGATCTCGTTGCCAAAGCACCGGGGGCCGTTATCCACGTAGCTGGGTGGCGGCTCCTGGGGACTGTAGCTGGAGACGCGATGGTTGGCGGACTCGTACGGTTGCCCGTAGCTGTAAGAGCCGTTCAGCTGCTGTTCGTTGTAGTTGGTCGCCGGGCAGGCCTCGCCCCTCCTTGGGGAGCCCTCAGGCTTGCCCAGCCGGTCCTGCCCATTCACAAAGATGTCATGGTAAGCCCTGGAGATGGCGCTGATGGCCTCCTCTTCCTGGGCATTAGGACTGGGCGGGGCGTCCGCCTCTGGGCTCAGGCCGACGTCCATCGGGGCCTCGTTCAGGCTGTTCATGTAGCTCTGCATCTCGTCCAGCAGGCGCTGCTTCTCCCGCTTGGGAATGCGCCCAAAGCGCACAGCTGTGGCCAGGAGAAAACAGCAGGAAAAATGAGCGCCGCTAGGAAAGACTCCATAAGGCAACCTGTTAAGCCTCACCCGCCCCCAGAGGATTTCAGCCGGCCTCACTCACTCTTCCCATTGCTCCTTTTACTGTTGTAGAAGCAGTTGAAAGCCATTCTTACATGAAATCAGGCAGCAATGGGGCAGGTGAAGGAAGGAGGGCAGAGGCAATACCATCTCGCCTCTTTCAACCCCATTGCAAGTGTGACTAAAAGAGTGCAGATGAGACGAGGAGCAGTCAGATCAGGGACACTGTCTTATAGCGAAAAAAACATTTTTAGGAGGGTACCATGCTTGAGAGAGAGTGGCCCCAGCCCCTAGTAAGAAAGGACAGGGAAGGCCAGACCCAAGCCTGCAGCCAAATCCGCAACACCCCTACAAAGCCAAAATTAGCAACCACTTTCTCAGGCTTCTTCTGGGTACATCATCTATCATGTCCTCAAGGAGAGCTGTTATGGGCATTAATCAAAGAATGCTTGCTCGCTCTCCAGGCTTGAGTGGCTCCTCCCACACATACCTCTGCGGTTGCTTTGGAAATCCTGGCTCAGAAGTATAAATCAGCCCAACAGTTCCATTTATCAACGGAGGATTTGCTGACATACTCCCCCCTCTCCGGAGAGCAGCAGCAGCAACTCGTCAACTCTCTCTCTGCCTTAAGGCTGTCCACCACAGGGTATCCATGACGGATAAAGCATACTAGGCCAGGTAAGAGCCTAGCTCTGTCCCAAACTCTCCTCCAAATTCCCAGCTGTTTAAGAGGACGCCATCAGGCTTACCATTCCTTTAGGGAGTGTATGTTACAGTGTAGGCAAGTCAAACTATTTTACATTTGGTTTTAGTCTGCATTGCTACAGATGATTTTATCTAGCTTATTTTATGATCCTCTTATTGCTCATTTTATTAAGGTCTCGATTTGTGCACTTCCCATAGAATTGCGGTTAGGGAGTTGTCTGAAAATAGAACCAGGCAAACAAACAAAAAAAAACCTCACTCTGCCAATGAGTTATTTAAAAATAATAATAAAACCACTGCACTTCAAGGTACTTTAATGCTCCCAATTAATTCTAAGTCCCTCAAAGGAAAGACACAGGAAAGCCTGTTATCAACATATATCTATAACTCTGGATTGTCATACCAAGGAATGTACCACAGTTGCCATAAGACCTATCATCTACCTAAACCATGGTCTGTCGCTGCCCTAATGCTCACCATCTCTCGACATGCCCACCGCCAGGCACTTCTTGAAGCGGCAGTGCTGACAACGGTTACGGTTCATTCGCATGATCATGCAGTTTTCATTTTTCACACACATTTTGTAGTTAATGTTCTGTTGTATGCTGCGGCGGAAGAATCCCTGGTTAGGCAGAAACAAATCGAGATGGAGTTAGCAAACAGAAGCCAATACACACACACAAACAAATATGCAAACACATTCATGCTGATGCTGGATTTTTTTAAAAAAACTCTGCTTTTAGAATCAGGTTTAAAATGAGAAAGCCTGACTGCCCTTTGTTTTCAAAGATGGGCTATACATTCCAAACTGCAAGCTGAGGAGGGGCTTGAAACCAGCCCCTTCCCCCCCCCCCAATAAGCCATTTGCAGACTGCAGCGGTCCCCAACTAAGAAGCTAACTTGGCCTCTACACACCATCAGCCATGTGACTTTTCGACTTTATTAACAGCATATAATTTTGGAACTACCCAGAAGAACTTGGGCACAGCCTTGAGGAAGATGATTTATCATTGAAAGTTTGTTGTTTGTTTTGTTTTATATTCTTAATATTTAAATAAAAGTATTACTTGTTCCTGCATTTACATTGATCAGGTGGTTTTTTACTGCTTCTTCATACTCTTGAAAGGATATACTGTACATCCCTTTCTAAAAATTTGGTTGAAGGCATCATAATTACTGTATTTTTCCGTGTATAAAATGACACTTTTTCCTTAAATAATTTGAGAAAAAATTGAGGTCATTTTATACACGGAAGGCAGGTCTTTACCACTGCCTTTTGCGAAGGCACGAGGCTTTAGCAAAAAAGGAAGGGGAGGCATTGCTCCCTTCCTTTTGCTAAGCTCCGTGGCCTTATCAAAAGGCAAGGAAAAGCAGCAGTCATTTTGACAGCCGCTTTCCTTGCCTTTTGCCAAGGCACGGGGCTCAGCAGAAAGGGAGCCCTTTGATCCCTGCTTTTTCTAATTTGGGGGTTTAAAAAGGTGGGGTTGTCTTATACTTTGGGTTGTCTTATAAACGTAAAAATATGGTACTTCTACAAACGTAAGACGAGTTTGCTCTCCCCTGAGGTCTTGAGGTCCAGCTGAAATTTCAGCTAATACAACAGGCACCAATTACTTTTTGTCAGAAAATAACGTACTGTATAGTAGGAAGCCCTGCTTTTCATTCTCTAGTCTATATATGACTGTACTGGCAGGATAGCTCATTATCTTGATCACTTTTGGTGTCATTTGATTTACGGTGTACACAAGTGCTTTGACATTTTTTCAGAGCTGACCTGCTCCTTTTTGGCACAGTGCTATGGGCTTCTGGGGGTTTCTGATGCAATTTGGAGTGCTCTGGATTATCCTGTTCTGTAGCCTGTGTGGATGGTTAGTTCACATTAGAACAGAGCAGTGTGTGGTGTTATCTGAGGTGATAACCTTGTGATGTATTTGGTGGGTGGTGACATTGAAAAGAAAAATGGAGAATCTCCTTTCTCTATTTTCATCTACTCTACCATTTACATTTTTTTAGAATTTTTTTGATGCAGCACTATTCTAGATAAACGAGACACATTGGTGGTATTATGTGTACAATGCTAGATAGATGCATCGCTGTTTCACTGCATCACTTCATTTAACCAGAAAAAGTGAGGAATGTTACTGTGCCCCACTGAATGATAAGCAGAGGAAAAAACAGGGAAGAGGGCAGAAAGGGGAGTGTCATTAACTGAAGTGGTGATAAATTAGGGTGATCCAAAGACCTGTCTGCACCCTTCTTGTGGGAGAAAAAAACTCTGATCAGTGTGAATGGAAGGATCGCTCAAATGACAGATAAAACAGATAAGAAGATAAGAACTAAGATAAGAAGAAGTGAATATAAGAACTTTTTAACCGGGAACCAGACCACTCCAGCCTCTCCATCTGGACAGGCTGGTCCTACGTTTATGACACTCACAATCTTGCAGTTCTTTGCTAGAAGGCATATCAACGGTACAGCACTGCTGCATTCAGTGTAAATTAGGTGACAGGTAGAAAATGCATCAAGACTGAATATTTCTGAGTCGCAGAAGCCAAGTAATTAATGCTGGCTTAGCACAGGAGAAGACTACTTTTGCAGCATCCAGAAACATATGCAAAAAGCACTCAAGAATCAGAGGTTAACGTCGCCGCCATGCTTTTAATTCACTTTCCGAATGAAGAATTTGATGTCAGGTGCCAAATTCAGTGCCCTAAGCACCTCAGCTTTGAGATATACCAGTATATATTTTAAACAAACAGTTTCTAGTCCTCATTATTCTTGATTTAAAACAAACAAGCAAGGGTGGGGGAGAGGGGCAGGCCTCACCTTACATCCTTCACAAGCATGGACGCCGTAGTGAAAGCCTGAGGCGATGTCACCGCAAACCTTGCAGAGCAGCACCATCCCGCCAGTCTCTGTGGAGGGAGGGCAAAAATGTGGGTTAATCCTCTTGCCAGGCCCACTGCCCTCCTTGCACACTAGTCAAAAAGCTTACAGCAGCCTTCCCCAAACAAGGCAGCCACCTTCTCCATGTGCGAAACTACAATTTAGGCCAGTGTTGGCTGGGGATTATAGGAGCTAAACGCAGGGAAGGTTTAACTAAAAGCTTGGGACTCAAGGAAGCTGAGGACTGTATTTCAACAGGATCAAAGTTTTGCTAGCAGTGGCTTTGGCAAAATAAACTAATTCCCCTGCCCCCTGCCAATATATTTCAAATGAAAGCAAACGCTCTACTGGCTAAGGCTAATGGGAGCTGCTGTCCCAACAACACCTAGAAGGCCACACATTGTGTGCCTCTGTCTTAAATCAAACAATAAAAGAAATAAACACCGGGGGGGGGAGGGGGAGAGAGACAAAAATGGGTTTGGCTTATCAAAGGCCGCACAGAAAGCCTGTTTGTGGCTGAGGTGGAATCCTGGCTTCACAGCAGGCAATCCTTCACCCAGACAGTAACCCACTGTTCCCCCATGATGTTTACTTTTGCAACAAATGGAAGGAAGGACGGGAAGGTTTTCCTTTCTCTCTTCCACTCTGCTTCTGGCCCTCTTTTATAGTGATCGGGGGAAAGCTGCTTGGAGTGGAATTACGATTTCCAGAATCCCAGCACTCTCTTGTAGGCTGTGGGATTCTGGAACTTTTCCTACTTCTCTTCTTTTGCCTCTGTTTGCCCCCCCCCCCCCAGGGGAAAGCTGCTTGGAGTGGAATTACCACTTCCAGAATCCCAGCACTCTCTTGTGGGCGGTGGGATTCTGGAACTTTTCCTACTTCTGTTCTTTTGCCTCTGTTTGCCGCCCGAGTTCCACTGAACAGAGAAGAGAGCAGAAAGAGGGGCAACTTACTTGTGAAGGTGCCAGTGGCTCCATTCTGTTTGGCCGCAGAGACTCTGCTCGGTGCTGGGGGGGACTGGCCCTTGCTGGGATAGCGAATACCTTCAGGGAACTGGAAGGCGACCTTGGGCGAGGAAGGGGAGCTGGCCCGTGGTGGCTTGATGGCCCCAATCTCAGTAAGGGTCAGTTCTTCCAATGAGGATGGCAGTGAGTGTTGAGGTGAAGGCACCAAGTATCCAGTGGGAGGGCTGCCCGGAGTAGGGCTGGAGCCAGCTGTTGAACCCACGTAAAGGATCACACCGCCTGGAAGAGAAGAAGGTGTAAGAGGGAAGATGAACATAAGAACCCAGTGGGAAAAAAAAGACCCGAGCAGCCCTCCTGGTTGGCCACAGCACCATAGAGTCAATTAAAATAACAACAAGTGCACAAATATTTCCAATAGTCTCCGCTATAATTTGGCTGTGGCAAAAGAAAATGGTTTGGGTCAGTGAGGAGGAAGCAGAGACTAAAGGGAACAGGAAACAGCCAACTGGCCTCTCCAGTTGGAAATGGTCCATGCATGCACAATGTTTCCTGAAAAAAACTCCCAGGAAGGTGATTCTGCAAATTTACCCAGGCGGCAGGTTTCTTTCCTAGATCATCTTTTGACAAAGATAAGCGTGCTATCTTGTGTAAGCAGCAAGCAGCACGCTTTTGCTTTGCTTTTGTGTGAAAAGCAAGCGTGAAAAACTCCCACAGTTCAAAGGAACCCACAAATCCAATACAGAAAATTGCAGAGAGATGTCCTATGAGATGCATAAATAAACGAGTACGCAAAGAGATCTCTCCTGAGCAAATCAACAATACAGGAATTATGAACATTTAAAAAACTTAAACTAAAGCTCAATTCTGTCAAAGTCTTTATGAGAAGAATGTATGCAATTAACACACTAATTTTCTTTGTGAAACATTTGTTAAAATGCATGAAAAGTTGTAAGAGAAAGAGATGCGTTGTCGACGTTGTTCTAATTTCCAGGACTCCCGCTAAAGCTAAATTGTACTTCCAGCATTTCTCCAGTACTGTATTTCTCTTTCTGAGATTTAAAGCATGCATTTGTCATCCGAGTAGATAGTGGGAGCAATCATTTCCCCTTTCCATCCAACTTTTGTGTCAATTTTGTGACCTGCCAAACTTTGCGAATTGAGGTCAGAGAAGAGGGAGATGGGGAAATGTTGCCACCAAAAGACTCACTGCCCTTGGAAGCCGCTGTCCATCTTTGCCCCTTACACTCACATAGAGACCCGCAAGACCGTTCTGCCAGGGTGTTGATCATCACAACAGCTGCATCCCTAGGGGAAAAGCCAGCACGACCCGGCCAAAGGCATGCAACCTCTGTGCAGCTTCACAATAAAGCCAGGGGAAACAGCAGGGACTGTGGCCGGAGAGACACGTGCTGGAGAAAACTAGGGCAAACGGATGGCACAAATACACAGGCACAAAGCCTGAGTGGTCATCTGAAATCCATTCCAGGAGGTGGCGGTAGCCTTGCAATTCACCAAGCACACACACGCCTCCCCGGATGCCACTGCAAATGCCAAACCAGGAATCCTTTGAGGTCAGGAGAGAGCTTCTCAGGCAACACACAGCAGACTTCCCCCCAGGATACATTCAGACAAAAAGAGAGAGAGAAAGAGTTGTGCTCGGTTAATTACCTCTTCATATTTTTATATAACTCTTAGCCCATAAGGTCATAGCAGGCCCTGAACTCAGAATAGAGGAGTTACCAGGAGGGGGGCTAGGGCTGCACATTCAAGCTTCACCAAAACAAATAAAAAAAGCAAAGGGAGACCACAGAAGGAATTTTTTCACAAAAATAGGCCACGTTGGGTGACATCGGGTGGTAAAAGGCTTTTGGGTCAAGCTTGCCTGCCAGTTTCGGGCCATGACAATCTCACTGTGACCTGCTTCTCTTGCTGACGATAATGGAAGCCGGACAGATTATTGGCAGGACTTAGGAAAATTAACCTTTTTGGTTACATTCCCAGGGGCTCCACCCACACCCACCCTGGGAGCAAGGCCACTGGCTGAGAGATTGTGGGAGTTGTAGTCCAAAATGGAACACTGCCCAGCCCTGGGTGGTTTTCCATTTGGCACAGACAATCCTCCGGGGGCTCCGGCAAAAAGCAAAAAAAGGGGGGAGGAGGGTGAAAAGTGCGGGGGCCCTTTGATTTCATCTGCTCCTTGATTCTTCCTTACTTGGTGATGCCAGATCCTCAACCCAGGTCTTGTGTACACAGAGCTGGCTCTGTACAGTATTCGTGAGCTAAAGTCCCTTCCTGAAGGACTATTCTCAGTCTTAAATATCTCCTCCACGTTTCTGATCTCCCCTAGTTGGACACTGCCACATCCTTTAACTGCCCCCGTGTGTGCCTTCGACCCTCCGAGAAAGGAATGTGCTGTACCATGTGAAATTTTGGAAATATTGGACTGCACTGGAGCAGAGTAGGAGTCACCCTCCCGCCTCCCCATACGGCACTTTTCCCCCCCTTGTATGGCTGAACTTGCACACCACATTCACATCCGCATGTGACCTACATCAGAAAGAGAGATGTACTTTCCAAGCAAACATCTCTGCACTCTTGTTCTCTCTGTCTTTCAGTGACAGAATGAGTTTAATTTGCCGCAAGGACCAATCATCGTCACTCAGCTCTGTCCTGCAAAAACCCCTGGCTTGGAAAAACATGTGCCCAAAATAAACCTGCCTTGCTTTTATATTTTTGTGGACACTGCTAGGCTTTAAGACAGGCAACAACAGCTTGTTCCAGCTGAAAGCACTGCCAGCCTTAAAACCAACTTTGGCCCTGGGAAAGCCGTTTGTATCCAGCGAGGAACAAGTTTCAAATCTTTTTGCCAGGCAAGGCCATCTGACTTAAAGGGGTGCTCTGGGGATTGGTGCTCTGGAACAAACAACATTTGATCTTTGGCCTAGAATCAAAGAGAGTGCAAACTTTTGCACCGTTGGCTCTTCCAAAGCAAGAAAACAACTTCCCAAACAATTGAGAAACGAAGGTTGCACACTTTAGCTCCTGTCCTCAGCAAGCAGTTCAAGAAGGCATGCATTAGGGGCGGCTTATATACTTCCATGTGTCAGCTTTTGATTTTAATGCACAGTCCCTTTCTGACAAATGTAAACACTTTTCCTCCTGTCCTCAACAGCGTGAGACCACTACACATAGTCAAGATGCTGGTCCAACAGCACAAGCATCTCCTCCCCCATCAGTAACCAGCACTTCTGGCATATGATCTGAAGGAGAGGTGCGTATGCTCTGTTCTCCTGTAACAGTACACTGTAAATCCCACCACATTCACATGACACAGCTCAGCAGCAGAATGCCTAGTTTGCATTCAGGAGCTGGAAATCTGATCTCAACACATCCAACAAAAGGACAATCTTTAGCAAGGCTGGGACTGGATTCTTTTGGCAAAGACCCAATTATTGGGTGGGGGGAGGGGAGGGGAGGGAGAGAGGGAAATCCTTACTGGAATCCACAATCACAGCCAGCAGGATGATTGTGGGATTTTGTACACCCTAAACAATAAGGCCTTGGAGAGCAGCTGGCAGCCAGGCCAGTCAAGACTTGGCTAGACTGAAGATCACGCAAAGGGTAGAAATAGCTCTCCTAGATCTCAGGATGATGTGCAATAGATGGTAAGTGATGTCCAACTACTGACTGTTTTAATACAGAAGTAAAAAAAGCGGTTCCTCCCACTTCTGTAATTATACTATAATTATACTGCTGATATGACGGAAGCCTGAGGTTACCATGAGTACATTTATTTCCACGTAGATGTGCTGTGAGCTTCATTCAATTCTGGTGTTCACAATAACTCTTTGGGCTCAGAATTCTTTCATTCTCAATATTCTGTCTTTGCACAAGGCCTGGTTGGCAGACCTAAAAATTTATGATGACGATGATCATTATGTTTTGTGGGCATGTGTTTTGTGACAAGGCTCGTCTCTCGGGGTCTCGATCCTCCCGGGGTCCTCCCTGTAATGTGACCGCAGAAACTGTCTTCGGACAAAACACTGGCTCTATGGCTTGGAGACGGGGATGAGCAACGTGCCCCTAGAGTCGGACACGACTGGACTAAATGTCAAGGGGAACCTAAGCAGAGATCATGGGGATGGAAGCTGAATCATGCCCTAGCTACTTTCAAGGAATCTTTTAAATTGAAAACATATAAAATGAGATTGCTAGTATATTGCCTCTTAGCATAAATTTCATTTAATTATTCCCCCCCACAAAAAACCCATAAAATATCTGAGGTCAAAGTCAAGAACTTAAGTCCCATTGGAGCTAAAGAGGGAACTGAGTACAGTACATGCTACGGAAATCAATGGTGCTTCCATCATCCTGGCTATCTGTGTATAAAACAGAAGTATTTTGCAATTTGGGTCAGCACAGAATTTATATACAGCCTGTCAGGAGTGTTTACGGACGTCGAGGAGATTTATATTTCCATCCCTAACCTCTGTACTGTATTTGGATGCAATCCTCAGAGCAGCACACTCTCTTTGGAAAGAATGAAAGGGCACAGGTCTGTCCTCGACTTGCTGGGTGCCACATAATCCTCAACAATAACTCTGTGAAGAGCCTCAGGAAGACTGAGGAGAACGGCCCCAAGTCACCCAATGGTCAGAGACTGGGGACTTGAAGTTGGGTCTCCCTACTGACCTCACTATATTAAACGTCAAAACAAAATCCCAAATTCATCAGCCCGTCCCAACATTCCTCGGCATTTCTGAAGAGCGCCTCTGACAACAAACAAAAAAACACCCCGAAGCAACTTTGCTTTCAACCTTCTGCGTGAAGGTTTTCCCGCCACCACGGCCCTGCCCGCCAAAACGATTGCTGAGGCTTAACCTGTCCTTTTTTTTTTTTTAAACGAAAGGGCAGGAGAAATCTGGGTGGCCCCGGGCGGAAAAATACCCAGAACGATCCCATTGTTGTTGAGGGGAATCTGTGCCAAGCAGCACCAGCTCTCTCTCTCTCTCTCTCTTTTTTGTGTTTGTGCGGTTGTTTTGTTATTTTTAGCGCCTGCCAATAGCTGGAGGAGAAAAGATCGACGCGGGGGGGGGAAGGAGGAGGAGGAGGAGGAGGAAGCGGGCGGTGGAAGACGAGCGCTCCGGTTCCCAGCAGCTCCGCTTCGCCTCCAATCGGGTCAACGCCTCACGTGTCCGCCTCTAGCTGCGAGTGTCAGGAACAAGCAACGTGCTGGAGCCCAGCCAAAGCGGGCTAGGGAGACACCTGACTCGCCGCTC